CAATATGGCAACACTTTTAAAAAAGCGTAAAATCTACATAAACACCGATAAAGTCTTGTGATCTGCATGTGTCTTGTGATATCATGTACGCTGAGCAGAAGAAGAAGTTCTTTATTCAAATTTCACGTTACATCTATTCGCACAGAGTTTGGGTTTTAAAAGGCAATGTGTTATGTTTCGAATCAATCAGATTGAAAATTTTTGTACAATGTCTCCTTCTTTAGTTGAGCATGCATACTGGTCAAATTCTTTTACCTCAACCAGTGCAATGCGTCAGCCGCTCTTCGTGCTTTTAGAACGCACAAAAAAATGCGTAAAGGTAACGGTCCTGTGTCAGTTAATGGGCTAAAAGCAATGGCTGTGACGTTTGAGAAAACAGGTTCTCTGAAGGTTCAGTCAGGCAGAGGACGAAAACCTGTACCACAGGATACAATCGAAGCAGTTGCCACGGCGATTGTCGACAGAGGACCAGACAATATTGCTGCCACTTCTAGCGCTCGTGGAGTAGCTCGGAATATGGATATGCCTTACAGTATGATATGGAAAATCTTACGAAAGATTATCAACTTCTATCCGTACAAGGTCAGCCGTGTACAGAAATTACTGTACCCCGACCATGATAAGCGATTGACTTTTGCTCTCACCTTTCTTGCCAGAATGGAGGTGGATGAAGCTTGGCCGTTGAAAATCTTATGAGGAGACGAGGCCCATGTTTACTTGAATGGAACTGTGAACGCAGAACTGCCGAATTTGGGATGACAAACCACCACATGCAATCACAGCAATTCCCTTACATTCATCAAAGGTAATTGCTTGGTGTGGGTTCACAGCAGAATTTATCGTAGGTCCATTCTTCTATGAGAACATTACCCCGACAGGACCGGAAAGCTGTTCTTTTATTGGAGAGAAATATCGCCACATATTGAACAGCTTTGTCATTCCGGCACTTCAGCAAAGACAATGCCTGGGGGAAATCATTTTCATGCAAGATAGAGCCCCTCCACCCGTTGCTGTACAGGTGCAACAGATGCTACGACAGAAATTCACAACACAAAGAGTCATTAGCCACTACTTTCAAACTGCATGGCCACCTCGGTCGCCTGATCTTACCCCATGCGACTTCTGGCTATGGGGTTACCTTAAGTCCAAGGTCTATCAAGGATTGGTTCAGGACCTGGCTACGTTGAAGGATAACATATCACGGACTGTACGGGAGATTCCTGCAGACATGTTACTTTCTGCTTTTGTGCATACTGTGCACAGAATGCAATATGTGGTCCACAACAACAGCAGCCACATTTGAACCTCATTTGAATGCAAAATAAAAGGTAATTTCCGTATTGATTTGCATTTGTTAACACTCTATTTTCTATTACACAGTGCCAAATATTCCTCTAGCAGTGACTTTAGGAACTAATTTGTTTTTTCGCGGAATCCTTCGTCCCCTGTCTTGTTTAATCTTCCTATAAAATGTGGCTTCATTCTCACAAATAGATCGCGCTACAGAACACTGTGAGCACTGTCAGTCTAATTATGGCCACCCGGTACGTTTACCAAAATTTCTGTAAATTGTTCTTTTTCTTCAGGAGATAAAATTTCACTTAGTTTTAATCGTAAGTTAGAATCCACATTTAATTTTGTTCTGAACTTATTTTTTCAAGATAACATGGAAAAAAATCCTTGTTCACACATATAGGTTGTGCAAAAAGGCAATAAAAAATTAATAACTTTGTTTGAAATGCTCCTAAATTCTTTTTTCGGTTAAGCCAAAAGTTAAATATGTTAATTTTGAAATCTTCATTTAGAGTTCGATCATAAAAAATTTCTATCAATTGTTCTTTTTCTTTACGAGATAAAATTTCAGGTATATTTGAACAAAGTTGATTTCTAATCCAATTTTTGGTTTCTTAAACCTCAGGAAAATACACGTTAAAATTATTTATCAATGAAAATCAGTGATTTTTAATGTTGGATGCTAATTCTTCTATTTTCAAATTATTTTCGGTAAGAAATCTTTCTAAAAGTGGCAGAAAGTGTAAAAAATTATTATCAAATTCTTTGATTATTAGATCGAATTTTTTCATCATTGCTTTTATTTTATCTCTAACTGTAAACAAATTAACTTTTTGTCCTTGTAATCCTAAATTTAATTTATTTAACTTTCTAAAAATATCAGCTAAATATGCTAAATGCGCCAACCATAATTCACTAGATACACATTTTTGCAATTCAAATTTCGAATCACAGAGGAAAATTTGAATTTTTGATCAAAGTTCAAAAAGATGATTTAAGCCTTTGCCTCTGTATAACCACCTTGCTTTGGAAAGTAACAAAAGCATTTCATGTCCGCTGCCCATCTCTTGGCATAAATTCGTAAATATTCTTGAATTTAAAGCTCTGCTTTTAATAAAATTAACAATTTTCACAGATTGATATAAAATGATTTTCAGGCTTCAGGAATTGTGTTGGCTACTAAAGCTTCACGATGTATGGAGCAGTGAGGAAATTTAGTTTCAGGTGTGACTTTCTTTATTTGAGAAATCACTCCGAAATGTTTTCCTGTTAAAGCTCGAGTTCCACTTCTGCATATGGCAATGCACTTAGTCCAAGGAATATCATTCTCAAGCATAAAATTATCAATTACTTCAAAAATTTCATTTGCAGTTGCTCAATCAGGAAGAGATTCACAAAATAAATACTCTTCAGCAATTTGTTTATTTTCTTTGAAAGTATGTAAACTAATAATTGAACACTGTTTGTTATATCAATATTTTCATCCAATTGCAATGTGAAATATTCACTGTGTTTTTATTTTTTGAATAAGTGTCTCCTTTATGGAATTTGCCATTTTATGAATTCATCGACTTACTGTCTCATTTGATAATGGAATATTATTAGCCACTTTTTTGTTAAATAGTGTTAAAACTATATCTTTAGCTGCTGGTAATATACGGTTTTCTCCAACATGTGAGCCTGCCCACTCTGCCACCACTTACCAGGTAACTAGCTTCCAAAGTTTTTTTCACTTGAAGGAACAAAACCTTTCCTTACTTGTCTACTATTTTTGAACGATAATTTTCTCTTAAAATATTCTTCAGATTTATCCTTTAAATCAGCATGCGTAGGATTCAAGATGTCTTTTAAGAAACAATGGTTTCATACTTTAATTGGATAATAGTTCACCGCAAGCAACACATTGAGGTTGAGGGTCCATTTCATCTCCATTCGAAGTAAATCCAAATGATAAATAACTGTCATTATATTTTGTAGAAACAATTTTTCTGTTCTTTTCAGTATAAATAATGCTAGTAGATTGTCCTGGTTCCATCACTTGGGAATCGTCACTTTTCCACGTAGTCCATCCTATTCATTTTTCCATTTTGAAAAATCTAGTGTTGTTTTATTATTTTTTCACAAATATTTAAATGCACAATATATTACAAGTTCTTCAAAAACAGACGGCTATATTCTCAGATCACATAGAAATATAAGGAATGCAAAGCAGCAAGAAGACAAACTACCTGCTGTTAGAGACAGCAAACCGACATAAAAAATTATTCTCATTGAAAATGCAGCAATATGAACCTGGAAATGGAGACATAAAGTGCTGGCAGGCTAATAAATCAATAAACTCTAAGAGAATCAATGAGATACTATTATCAAAATAAATATAAGTTCCTATAAAAATAGGAACTTATATTTATTTTCTATTAAATGCAGCATCCATTTCTACCACTCCTTTTAAAAACATCGTGGCAATTCATCATCATTTTAAGGCAAATTTTGCTATTTGTACAGCTAAAAAGAATATTTGTGAAACATAAAACATGGAAGAACCACTAAAACTGCCATGCAGACAGATCATTTGCCTCTTGCTAAAGTCTATAAGCAACTATTGACCTTGAACAAAGCTCAGATTGCATAAAGTTACGAGTGTAGAGGAAAAAACTCAATGTTGGGGTTTTAATTTTTGAATTTAATAGTTAAAAATACTTTACTTCTTTGCGTACCACCTATTTTTCTCTTGCGTACCACTAGTTGAGGACCCCTGATCTACGTGTTTGTGCATTTGTGAGTTAATTTTTTTGTATATTTAACATGAGAATAATTATTTCACGATGCCTCCCAATGTCGATTTTTTTCTCCAGTTCCAAATGATCATGTGTCGATTTGTGACTCTCGCATCATACATATGAAATTCTATCTTCTTCTTATAATACTGCTAAGAACTAAGCAACTGAAGTGACATAAAAATTAGCATCATCTGATTTCTGAATAGCAAAACAAATATATAGGGAAAAGTAATAGCTTTTTATTAGTAATCAGAAAAGTGAAATAAGTCCTATACTTAGAACAGAATATTAATTTAAAATAGTATCAATACTTTTTAGTATCAATACTTAAAGCAAGAAACAATAACTTTAAAAAAAATCGCAGACTCAAAAGAATTAGCACAACAGAGTTAACAATTCAAACATGAGAAAGCATCTAACAATGGTTAAGAATAAATTAACTGAAAAATAACATTCTAAAGTAACTGATAATTAATTAAAAGAAGAAACTGAGATTTGAACAATAGAAAATCAGTAGTCTGGTATTAGAGTTTTCATATAATGACCAAGAATGAAATTACAATCCATAACATATGGAATCCTCAAAGACTGAGTCTGTGATGATGTCAAAGGTCATGTGAGCTTACAAATTTATAATGTCACAAAAGTCATGTGATCTCTAATGTCATGGGCTACTTTTTGAAACTTTTCGAATTTTCACTTGCTACTTTAGCTCAAAAATGTCTAGCAACATTGATGTAGAGTGTAGGTATATTTGCACATAATTAATATCCTTTCAAGATTTATAATATAGACTAAACAATACATGTTATGCATCCCGTGAAGCCAGGATATCTTTTATTGGCCCTTGTGCAGAAGTTGGCCACCACTATGTTTTATTATTATTAAGATATTTAATATTTAGTTTTTCTTCCCTTTTGATTTTAGGAAGCGATATAGTGGTTTATCTGTATCAACTACTCATTTGTATCAGTCTGAAGTCGCAGCTGATGACGTATCTTCTAGCGATGGCATTACTGTTAAGTATGTATATCTGTATATATATAAATAACTTTTTTTTGTAATTTGACTTTTTTAATTAGTTAAACTTTTTTACATAACAGAAAACTAATAATTGCTTTGTTTGATGTAGATCTTTTAATGAATCATATTAGCATTGTAGTAATAGATTTTTCAATAATATTTTATTGCATGCTCTGTTAATATACATACATTTTTAGTTAAATGTATTGAATGGCCTGGTATAAACAAAATTAGTTAAGTGTATTGAATGACATGGTATAAACAAAATTCCCAAATAAAACAATAAGCTATAATGATGTAAACCGAGCTACCAAAATAAATAAAAAAAGAAAATTATCATTTTTGGTAAATTTAGAATAATTTAAAATGTTTTTTGTGTAGAGTCATGACACTGTTATTTTTTTTTTACGAGTTTAAACAGTGTTTTAAATGCATTTTAACACTTTTGTACAAAACTTCAATTTTTAAACATTTTTTCATGAAAAGTTACTAGTTAAAACTAAATGTACTCGGCTTAAAATTTGACTAAAAAATTTACTCCCGTATTGAACATTCTAAACATCTTGATTCATTCAAAAAGCTTCTGGTATGATATTTATGTAGAGAAGATATGATGTATGAGCATCACTATAATCATCGCTGCAACTCATCAACTTATTGCTAAACTACGGTTTATTTATATACATTAGAATGGAAAGAAAAGTAAAAAGAAGAATTTAGAATATTTTCATACGTCTATCCTCACTATTGTTCACCTCTCATTTGACTGTGCACTCATCTAGGTGGCACTTTAACATAATCTTACTCAGTTAAAGTTACCAAATAAATCTGCCATCTGACATCGTTTTCTGCCCTCAGATGATAACAGCAAATAGTGAAATTTAACTTATAACGTACAAAGTACGGTAAAAAAAGGAACTAATACTGTTAAACAGTAAATTAAAATCTTAATTTAATACAGATAAATAAAAATAGTATTCTATCTGGATCTTCTAAAAACAGCACCCTGGGGAAAAAAAGTAATAGTTAATAATCATAATTGAAGAAAAGATGGGTATGATTAAAGTCCAAACGTATAGTTCAGTGCATATGAGAGAATATCCATAAAAGGCTAAAGTTCAGGTAATATGTTCTGATGAAGTCCAAGGTTTCATAGATTGTGCAAGGGCTCGTTTTCATAGGTCCATTGAAGAAACCACATCATAAGTTTCATTTGGCTTGTTTTTCTTATATGGTCTAAGAAACTTGTGTTTCAGTTTAAGACCAGGTCCATATTGTGTATGTTTGATTGCCAGTACATCATAAAGCTGGAACTTTGGGGTGGTTTATGTCGCAGGTTGTAATTTTTGCGATTATCGGCTTGCTCTTTCAAAATCTATTATTTAGCATCTTTGCAAAGATTATCATGATGAAATCTAACTGGATCTCTGCATTTAACAGCTCTAATTTTATCATGATTAGCAGATTTCATTTTAGTTCCAAACATTAGTTCGAATGTAGTTGTATTGATACTGTGTTGATATGTTGAACCTCATCTACATGTGTATACCATTTTGACAGATTTTGAATCGATAATTTGGAGAGAACAGAAATTATGACAGAATTCAGTCTCTCAATTTGTCTATTGGCACGAGGCAGGCCTGTAATTATTTGCATATGCTGGATATTGTTGGTTGAACAGTAATCTTGAAAATCTTTTGAAGTAAATACTGAACCTTTATCTGAAGTTCTATGCAAAGGATTTCCTAAGACAAATTATTTATTTTCCAATTTAGATATTAATTCAGTCCTAGTAGATTTTGTCGAGTAAAACCCTGCAAACTTATAAGGTATTTCTTCCGCCTTCTTAGCTTCGTGGTGTAGTGGTCTGCACGTTCAGTGCATTTGAGAGGTCTGCGGTTCGATTCCTGGCGAAGGCGTTGCATATTTTTCATCCTGCCTGCTTCCAAAAAAGTCCTAATGTCTATTACAGTGGCACCCGAACTAAAAGGGTGTTGGATGATGATTCTCCACACCCAGGATTTGGCGATTGGGAACCCTAAAAAACCCCAGTTGCCCTTCAAAAGGGGAAGTATATAAGGTATTTCTCCTGCCTTCTTAGCGAGCCTTCGTGGTGTAGTGGTCGGTACACTCAGCGAGTTCGAGAAGTCTGCGGTTCGATTCCCAGCAAAGGCATTGTATATTTTTCATCTTGCCTGCTTCCGAAAAAATCCTAATGTCTCTACAGTGACACCCGAACCAAAAGGGTGCTGGATGATGATTCTCCTCACCCAGGATTTGGCAAATGGATCCTTTCAAAAAAAAAAAAAAGGGGGGGGGGGGGGCAGAGTATATAAGATATTTCTCCCACCTTCTTAGTGAATCTTTGTGGCAGGGCTGTGGAGTCAGTAGGGAAAATAACTGACTCCGACTCCCGGAATTTTAAAGACTCGACTCCCTCATATATATATGTAAACATATATGCATGGGTCACAGCTTATTTTATTAATATAAAAGAAGTAATAGATGCTACAGAAAAAAAAAAAAAAAAATTGATGGCATAGCAAATTATATGTATTAATTAACATTTATTATGAAATGGAAAAACTAGCATTAGTTATTTCTAAGAAAAAGTAGAGCTTCAGCAAGATCTTCTTTGTTGGAAGGCCATAGATCCGATTTTAAAAACTTCCGAGAAGAATCTTTCCACACTAACTCGAGTAGGAGGAAGAGCTGTTATTTTTAGGACTGCTTTTTTTTAACTTTTCAGAATAGATTTTTATAAGTTCTAAAAGAGGTGTCTTGCAAGCGCAATCATATTTCTCTATTTCCTCAAAGGCCATGCAGAAATTTTGTTTGTATTTTTGCATTTTTATATATAAAGGCTCTTGGTTCTTTATTTTCATTCTCTTTGCCTTAGCCTTTTCAATATTATCCAAAAATATTTCTCAAAATCTAATTCATCACTGGAAGAGGATGATAGTGACTATTATCCAAAAATATTTCTCAAAATCTAATTCATCACTGGAAGAGGATGATAGAGACTCAATTGCAATGTCTGCAGTTTAACTGTCCTGATTTGAATTCTCCAATTGTTCTGAGAATAATTTCATTCTTAATGAAAGTTCATAGATGGCTTTCTTTGCGGTTTTAATTTGTTTGTCATCTAAGAAAATTCGGGGTTTTGAATCAACATATATTGAACCCAGCAAGATCTATTGTCTAGCAAACTAGTTTCTCTTTTTTTCATTGAAGAAATGATTCCTTCTGCAATAAACATTGCATTTCAGAAAAAACAAACATCCCATTCTTCCATTTTCGCTTCCTATCAATTCTTCTAATTGCAGCCTTCTGATTGCAGAAAGAAAAGCTTTTAATTCTGCAAGATCATTGCACAGTCTTTCTGTTAGTGAAACATTAGGATTATCTACATCTTCTAAAAAAATTCTTAATTCTAACAACCTCTTTATCATCAAGTATGTACTTCCTTATCGCATTGCTTGGTGAATAAGTGCTCTTTTTCCTGCTCGCTTCCTAAGAATGGCATCAATTTTAGGAGTTCTTTGCTGCTATTACTGCTTACCTAAATTGACCAGTGATACTTGTAACTAAATGAAGTAACTAAATGAATCAGTTTAATCACTAATGGCAAATATCACATCCATCCTCCACCCTTATATTTATTTATTAGTAGGTGAATAAAATAGAAAATAACTATTTATTAATGTATATAGTTCGTAAATAAAAATAATAACTCTGCTTATCATTAATTTTTTTTCAATTCATTTTAACTTCATTTCAAATTCAAACTTTCCAACAAAAACTGGAGTCAGAGTCGACCTGGTTTTGCGACTCCAGCTCTGACTCCTTTTACTCCAAAATCTGCCCGGCTCTGATTCTGACTCCACAGCCCTGCTTCGTGGTCAGCACATAATTAAGAGGTCCATGGTTTGATTCCCAGTGAAGGCGTTGCATATTTTCAATCTCTCTTGCTTTCAAAAACTCTTAATGTCTTTACAGACTTTTAGAAATATTCAATTGCATCAAATATATACTTGTAATTTTTATCAACACTTTGGAGTCTTCCTAAATCATCAATGTGATATGTATGGAGTGGTGTATCTTGTTTGGGTATACAATGAAACATAAATTGTTGTTTGCCATATTTATGATTATTTAGTATGCAAGGAATACAATTTGCAAAATAATATACGAGGGCCATCCAGGAAGTAGATTACGTTTCCGTCTGTGTCCGCTAGGGGCGGGGCTAGCGCGGCCATCTTGGGGTCAGAGCGTTGCGCAGCTCAGTCTGCATCTAGCCGTGCTAGTGAGAGGTTCGTGCTGTGCTCCGTTCAGATACTGTGACGGTTTGAAATGTCTGCGTTAATTGAAAATCCTGCGAGGTGCGCTCAGTAATAAGGTTTCTGACTGCAAAAAACTGTAAACCGATAGAAATCTATCGGCAGCTTCGTGAAGTGTATGGGGACAACATTATCACTGAAGGTGGAGTGCGTCAGTCAGTGGGTCATAAGATTTCAAAATGGCCGAACCAATGTTCACGACGAAGATCGAAGTGGGAGACCCAGCATAGTGACCGCCGAACTTCTCGAAAAAGTCGATGCTAAAGTCCGTGAAAATCGAAATTTCACAATAACGGAACTTTCTTTGAGTTTTCCACAAATTTCGCGAAGTTTGTTGCACAAAATCATCAGCGAAAAGCTTGGTTACCACAAGTTTTGTGCAAGATGGATTCCAAAAATCTTGACAGAGGACCACAAAAATCAGCGAATGGCTGCAGCGTTGAACTTTTTGGACGCTTACCATAAGGATGGTGACTCTTTACTCGATCGCATCGTTACTGGTGACGAAACATGGGTGAAACATGTGAACTGTGAAACGAAATTGCAATCAATGCAGTGGGGGGCACACAAGTTCTCCCCAAAAACCCAAGAAATGCATGCAAACAATGTCGGCAAGGAAGATGATGGCGACTGTTTTTTGGGACAGAAAAGGTGTTGTAATTTTGGTGGACTTCCTGGAAAGAGGCACTACAATAAACTCTCAAAGGTATTGCCAAACTCTCCAAAAACTCAGAAGAGCAATTCAAAACAAGCGCAGAGGAATGTTGAGCTCTAAGATCTTGTTGATTCACGACAACGCCCGGCCCCACACGGCAAATGTCACTCGTAAAGTTCTTGAATCTTTTAAGTGGGAGTTGTTTCCTCATCCGCCGTACAGTCCCGACCTGGCACCGAGCGACTTCCACCTATTCCCAGCAATGAAGAAGTGGCTGGCTATGCAGCGTTTTAATGACGACGCACAGCTGCAAGAAGAGGTAACGAAGTGGTTGAAGGCGCAGGCGGCCGAATTTTTCGACGAAGGAATTTCCAAGCTCGTACATCGCTACGATAAATGCCTTAATTTGTATGGTGACTATGTAGAAAAGTAGTATTTGAGTGTGGCTTTCATCTGTATATAATAAAATTTGTTTCCTATACTTTGTTTATTTTTTTATTCCAAAACGTAATCTACTTTCTGGATAGCCCTCGTAGTTACCAATTTTATCTGTAAGTTTAGGTATGTAAAATTCTTGTTTGATGAGATCTTCAGTTTATTTAAAAGTGTCCACAAAGATATGCATCCTTAATTATATCAGTTTGCATTGATTTTGGTACAACAAGTAATTCATTACTGTCTACAAATTAATAAAGTGTATCAGCTTTAGCACAGTAGTCATTGTAAGGTTTAACTTTTAAGACTTTGTTGAGAGCTGGAATGTGATCATCTTGCTCTTGCGCATTTCGTATTTTCAAAAGGAGGCTATCTTCAGTGATGACTATAACGGATCTGCTCAATGCGTCAACCTGTGTCATTTGTATTTTCTGTGTTCCATTTTGTACTCAAAATTTTCGAACATCGGTGCCCAAGGTGCTATTCGTGTATTTAAGTCTTTCGTTTTCATTGTCATTTTGAACGCATTACAGTCATTAATAATTTTAAAGTGTTTTCTAAAATATAAATTCTAAAGTTTTTCAAAGTTTAAATGGGAAAAAAGGGGAGAAAACTGACAGCTTTAGGAAACCCTGTATGAAATTCTGTACTCTAGTATTCTAGGTTTAAAAAAAAATTCTATCAAGCGATCTTAAGACATTCGCTAATACGGAAAAATTCAATTCATTCCTGAACATTGTTTTTGTCCAAATGTTTGTAAACTGAAATTGTTTTCTCCGCAGGAATTAATATAAAACAGACGAAGTCTCTTCCTGTACTGCAGATCATCACTTATTTTAAAGTATGCAGCACTACTTTGAACACAAGTTCATATCACAAAAATAAAGAAAATGTTAAATCTAAGACACTCCCCTCCAAAAAAAAAAAAAAGTAAAACACAATATTAAAAAGATAAAATAGAATTTTTTTTTTTTTTTGGTCATTCTACCACACCCATTTAAAGATGACTGGATGGCATAAATTTAGCACAGTAAAGAAGAGAAAGTAAGATGTTACTGTTTGGGTGACAAGTTCCCTTTATAAAAATACTGGATAACTGTCCCTTTTTGGAACGTCTCTTATCTTTTCTTTGTCTCTCAATACGTACTATGCAACTGTGTGTCTCTGGGCTTCCATATTACTTAAAATTTATCCAGTGTGATTTGCTGGTGTCTGCATTTTAAAATGTTTCTAAAATGGGACATGACATTGACATCAAATATACTTTGCTGTAGTTCAGTTTTGCTTTGTTAAGTCGATATCATTATATGAAACTCTGTACTTTGCCCCATTTTGCAGAGATAGCTCAGATCAACAAACTAGGTTTATCTTTTCTTCTTTCCTCTTTCTCTGAAAACATTCTTGCACTATTGCCTTTTGTTGCTACTTTTACAGTGTTTCAGTTCTGTCTTGTTTACTTCATTTTTATGGTCTTCCAATAACTGTTGTATGTCTTAATTAACTCCATTCTCATGCTTTTACCTAGATAAAATATCATAGGTAACTTATCTGCAGTATCATAGATAAATAAATTGCTTACTGCATTATCTGATCATAATTTCCTCCGAGTTAAATTCATTATCCTGTACATCATTTGATGCCATGCTCTGTTAATAAGAGTTAAGTGATGGAAAGTATTAAAGTGATGAGTCTAGAAGTCTCTGAGTGTTAACTATATGGTATAATTGAGAGGTTGCCTCAAAATACCTCTGAAAATCATTTGTTGCTGAATTTTTTACTATTCTTTATTTCTATTAGTTGGTAAAGACTTGGGTTTACAAATTTTGTCATTACTTATTACTTTTTGCTGTTATGTACGTTCATGCATCTTGAGTGTTGCATAAGAATCATATGACAGTAATTAATTATGAAATGATGCAGTTCAGAAAGATTAATTAGCATATTATTATTTATAGAATAGAGAGGAGACATAACCAAATTAAAAAGAAAGCTATTAAAAATATCTTACACATATATATTTTGCTCGATATATATATATGTAAGTTATGAAATAAAGATGGCTTATATTAAGAACAATGGGCTTAGTACATTTGTTTTAAATTTTTATTATTTCATTATTATTTTAATAATTTTGGGTTAATGTATTTCATTTTCTTTTAAATTTCAGGAATACAACCTCTAGTGCTAGTTCAGACAAAGACAATAGTTGTAGTAACAATTTAGATGCCAAAAATGTTCATTCACCAACACCATCAGTAGTATTAAATTCTGCAACTAGCTCAGTCACCTCATTAAATACAAATTCTAGCTATAAAGATGAATCATTTGAGAAGTTTAATGACAATCAGTCAACAACCGATGGATTATGTAATATGTCACCAGGCTCAATAAGCCAAGAAAGTTCTTTATTCCCTGATAATTTGAGCAGATCATCTGAATCTGGCAAGTCAGTAGACTTGGGACTGCAAAAGACGCCAGAAATTCATACGTCGAAGTCAGATGTAAGCAGGTCTGATAAAGTTAGGTGTACAGAAAAGAAAGAAAAGAAAAAGTCATCCTGGTATAATGTTAGTAAATTGCTCTTTTGTATTTCATTAATAGAAATTCTAGTAATAAAGTATATTAAATTTTCAAATATTTAAAATAGCTTCCTAATTGGAGTAGTAAAATTATTCTCATTTAATTTTCATATCATTGAGCTAAATATATAATAGTTTTTGATAGAATTGTATTTTTTAGATGCTGAATCCTACATATAAATCTCGGAGTGATGATTTTAAACGCCTTTTCAAGGATCTGCCTGATTCTGAACGTTTAATTGTTGGTAAGTTTCTGTGAATTGAAAATTATTTTAAACGAGAATGAAATATTTGACTTAGGTATAAAACACAGCAGGATATATGGCATAAAAATCTTCCTTTTTGCAGTAGAGCTACTGGCCATTTATATCTAATTCTGCTATTTGTAATAAGGGAGTATTTTGTTTCAACAAAATCAGGCAACTATAGCTATTATTATTATTACTGTAATTTTCTTTCCCTGTTATCGTATTTAAAAATGTAACACACATTAGCTACAAAATAAAATTTGAAGAAAAAGTTCTTGTGTATTAAAATATTTTACATTTGTAATATAATAAAAGTAAATAGTTCATTTTACTGTAATGCAGTATTAAATTGTATCATTGCTTAGAAAAGTTGCCTTTACAACTAATGGCATGCGAGATCCATTCTTAAAACAGGTGATTGTTAGAATATTTTTTCAAAGTGATATAGCAGGAAGTAAACTTTAGCTAGATACAGTTGCTCCAAGATATGGTAACAAATCATTTGTTTTTCATGCAAACTGCACTAAATGTAATCTTTTGGACTATGAGCTAATCTTTTGGACTATGAATATCATTTACAAAATCTGTTTTTTCATATCAAAAGAAATTGGTTTTAAGTCAACACACTGAATGCTTCATAGAGTAGTTGGTTGAAAGTTTGTCATCATTGGCAAGTGTAATGTCAATATAAAAGGTTATTATACTGTTTGGTATTGAGTTACTAATATTTGAAAAAAAGAAGTGTTTTATACATCTATGCATGAGTCGTTTCTCCAGTTGCTGTGAGTAGATTGTCACATGGTAATAAAGCAAAAGTTAAAGAATTGATTACCACGTTTTCATCAGAGATATAAGTTGTACAGTACTGATGAACTTTTGTTGAGTGTTTAGTTTGAGATGTATGTCAAGTAAAAAGTCAGTTTACTAATAAATTATTAGTTGTATAGATTTAAGATAATAAATGATTGTATTTCTTCAGCATGGAGATATTTTATTTAGTCATAAACTGAAATTAAGTATCAGGATCTTTCACATACTTTATTAGTAAAAAATGTCTAAAATGATGGGAACTTTTGTGAAGTATTTTGGGTTTGAGATTGGACCAAGCAAAAAGATGGCTGTATTACCAACAAATTATTATAGATTTAAGCTAATAAATGATTGTGTTTCTTCAATATGGAGATATTTTATTCAGTGGCGAAATGAAATTAAGAATCAAGATCCTTTACCATACTTACTAGGAAAAAAACATGTACTGTGTGTGTATGAAGCATTAAGCATATACTAAAGCGAGATATTACTTTTGGAATGTTTGCCTTCTCTAATATAAGATTTTGAGTAATTTTGACTGATATCTGTTATGAAGTTTTTAATGAAGGCTTCTTTCCCTTGATGGGTAACTCTGGGCTCAATTTTAAATTCAGAAATCATATCTTTTGTAGTGCTTTCCATCAAAATGTTTATGCAAGTTTGTTGCAAAATTATTGATTCACAGTTGTATATCCATTGAATTAAATCAAAATCATTTTATAAAATGCAGCCTTTTTAAAAATGATCTGCAAAATTAACTCTTTAAACATTTTAAATTTTATTTATGTAAAGCATTAGAAAATGTTTTAATTTTTCAGTTTTTAAAAAATTATATTAATCAGAATTATTATAAATAGATCTGCACTTTTATTATTTATTTTTAAAAGAATATCAAGTATGCCTTTCCATTTTGTAAATTTGTATTATCTATAACTTTCAGATTATTCATGTGCTTTACAAAAAGATATTTTGGTCCATGGAAGACTTTATGTGTCTCAAAACTACGTCTGTTTTTATGCCAATATTTTCAGATGGGAAACTTTTGTAAGTTCTTTAATTTTTGATAAAATTAACTTATATTTTAAAATATTGATTATGTTTTGTGTTTAAAGGACGTTTTTCCCTCTGTCTTTTTTCAGGGTTCGTACAGTCCTTAAGAGTCCTTAAAAGTCCTTAAATTTTTTGAAATCGATTTTTGGTCCTTAAAAGTCCTTAATTTTGTCCAAAATCAGTAGAAGGTCCTTAATTTTAATCATCTGAAATTTCTCTCTGTTTTTACAACTGCCATTTTGAGTGTGAATTAGCATTTTGGAGAAATATTTTTGGCAATTCACTGACGTGTATGGTTATCTTTTGAATGTGTTCATGGGTTATAATTTGTTTCTATTTCTAATATAAATGATGGGCTACTTGAGTTTCTAAGCAAGAAGTGAAACATAAGTTATTAAATGGTTCTAAATTTGACAACTTGTTAACATGTTGGCGATTTTAAGATCAGTTTCTATAGAAAATTTTTAATTCCGAGATCTGAGAATTTTTCGGCGTTTTTTTTAAAACATCATAACATTGATAAATTTCATTAAAATAATGGTAATATATTAGAATTATATTTAAAAAATAACATTAAAATAAAACATTTTTATTTTTCGCTGTCATATTATAAAGTTTTATTTTGGCAACTTATTATACAATATTTTAAATCTGTAAAATAAACAAGTTATATAGCTATAAAGAATAATTTACGAAACAACTCTTAGTAAAAGCAAAATTAGCTATGTAATTAATTAAAATGTCTTCTTTTTAATTTTTTCATAGTAAGCGTTTTTTCCCATGTAATTGTCTCAGATTACATCATCCAACACCCATCAAGTAACCATCAACACCAACAAGTAAAACTTATTCTTTGCATCTACTGAGACTTATATATAAAACAACTTATCACCTCTGGTGCTTTAATGGCTTATTGGAACCTTAAAGTATATTAACTGGGTTACAACCCCTGGAACTCCACACAAAGCTATGACATTAACTGCATTAAGCAGAGCTTGACTAACTTTCAACACTTGCCAACCGTGCCTACATCAGGCCTTTCAGGTTTGTTCCAATCAGCAGGTCTCTCTATAGACAAGTAGCAGAGGGACAACATTCAGTCTTTTGTTATGAATCATGCTGATTATGATCTCACTGATCTCATTTCTCATTTTAACCTATGCCGTTTGACATATCTATAATCTAACCTCTAGACTATAAATCTAGACTAAATTATGTTGACTAAGAACCTAGACTGACCAAGTATGTGACAAAATAAGACATATATATGTAAAATAAAATTATATGAATCAGGATTATAATAAAACTATAAACATTAATTCTTCCTCTCTATTCTAAAATCGTAATAACTTTTCTGCATTGCGTAATTTCTAGATCACTCTATTCCCCGCGCAGCTCTGATGACGTAATAATTAAGAACTGAAACTGTCCTTGTAAACCAAAACTTTTCTCTTCGCGTGCTTCCATCTTTCATAACTACGCACTTCAGCTTTTGCTCTCTACTGTGCTAAGATGTAATTTTGCTGGCTTGCTTTCTATCCCTACAATATCAAAAATGTAAATCTTCTGTGGAAAGGCACGACTAGAGTGCCAAGTGATTGTGGCCACAAATATCAATTGGAAATAAAAATGGAATTAAAACTGCCTCGACTGCCAAGTTCTTTAAATACTACGCAATCAAAATTCTTCTTCAATATGGATCTAAGCACGCATCTACAGTGTTCCGTCATTTCCTTTGCTTTTATTATAACATATATATATATAAATTTTAAAAAAAATCATAAAGCTAACTCTTCTTTTAAATATGTCCAACTATTATAAGTGTAGAATATTTAATGCTGCTTGATAAACTGCATGAAGTTTATTTTATTCTCAAACTTATTAATAATTGTGTTAGTTAAATCATGTTTAGTAATAATGCATAATACTTAGGGATCTATTTTATTTTTAGGATGGTATTACAAAAGTGAAATTCAGGCATAGAGTAATATTTTTAATTGAATTTATTAAGTTTCCATTTGCTCATAGGTCCTTAATTTTTTTCATTAATGGTCCTTAAAAGTACTTAATTTCTGTGCGCAGAAATGTGTACGAACCTGTTTTTTGTTTTACTTTACCACAATTACCCACGACTTGCTTGCAAATACTTATTTATAATTAAATTTTGTTACTAGAACACTGATAAGACACATTTCTCTTTAAGAATTTTGAAAATAAAATTATTTAAGCAAAGGTTTTTTTTTTTTTTAACAGTTCCTAAAACTAAATGTTGTTACACTGTGTATTGCTATAATTCAGTTATCAATAAGCATGAATTTTTTTTTTATTTTAATGAAAATTTTATTTTTTCTTTTAAACTTAAATTTCTTTATGCTAATACTATTTTTATGATTTTTTATTAACACGTCTATAACCTAATTTTTCTGTTGTGGAAGATACAAAATAAAATTAAGATCATTAAGATTTTCTTTTTACACATACTTTTATTTAAAACCAAAAATCATTATGTGAGCTTTTACTCTTAAATCATTTATTGCTGACAGATAACACAGTAACAACAAAATCCAAATTGTTGATAAAAATCAGTCTGATTATAATTGGCCTATCAGTTGAATGTGATTCATGAAGATTGTGCTATTATCTGTTTATTATTTGCTAATCGGGTGTAAAGGATCGCATTAGTTTTTCTAAGTTTATGTTATTTATTCTTTTTTTTTTTTTTTTTTGGATGCACATGAACACTGTAGATAAATTGTGCTATAAACAAACAAGCATGTTTTTATTTAATTTCCAGAATAAATATTTCGAGTAATAGCATTAATGTTTTATGATTGAAGTTATTATGGCTTGCATGTTTCTGGATTTTATTTGGCAGTGTGCAGCAGTGGTATGTGTCTTTTTACATAAATTTGTTTCTTCTGAAAATTATTAAGTGAGTTTATATATAAGATAAAATATGTAAATCATCTTTATAATTTAATTTAATAATAGCCTTTTAATACCTTTTTTAATTTGGTTACTTCCTCTTTCTTCTAAAAAAATGAATAACATTTCTGGAATGTGTCATTTCTAGATCAGTGTATGCCACAGAGCTTGCGGAAAGCTGATGACGTAGCTTATTTGAAACTTGAACTCAAAATTTTGAGAACTGAAACTTTTTTAACCTAAACCAAAATCTTCCTCTTGGTGAGCTTCCATATTGAATAAATGCACACTTTTAGCTTGTACCTCCGGGCTGCTTGGACACAATTTTGCTGTACTCTCTTTCTATCGCAACAGTATCACTGTAAAGTTTCTGGAAATAGGCACATTGAGAGTGGCAAGTGAATTGTGGCCACAAATGTCAATTTAAATAAAAACAGAATTTAATCTGCCTTGAATGCCAGGTTTCTTAGATATTACGAATGCAGCATATTAGCATACTGCAGAATTCATTTTCAGTACGTATCCTCTTCAATATGCCATCTGCGTGCTTCGTAATCAGAATTTCTGCGGTTCTACGTCTCAGTGTTCCTTATCAGTGCTTCTAAATTTTGTTTTTATTACATATATATGTGGGTGGGGAGTTGAAGATCATTTCCTTAAGTAAATAACTCTTCTATACCACAGGCATTTAATGAATTAATAATAGAAAAGCTACAGATTTGAATTTGAATAACAGTACCGTTGCACGTTCTCCCGCTTGTTAGATACAAATACAGTTCTGCTTGACTTTAAGTATTTAAAATAGCTACACCGTGCCTACTCGTGCTTGCTATTTTAACATTCTTTTGTTACCACCTTCACATGGAATCAACATCTATAAGACTCGGAAGAGTGAGAATAAATAAAATGAGGAATACTTCCTGTATTTTTTTAATTTCCCTTATTATACATTTGAACTGTTTGTGAAAATATTGTACTATATTACAATGGCATTGTAATATTTTTAGTATGTTCTTTTACATTGATGTAAAGCTTAACCCTGCAGCGGCAGCGCCAAACAGGCGATACGGACTTAAAAACTGTACAGAAAAGCGCCAATTGGCGAAACAGTAAACCCGTTTGGCAAACCTACAGGCTGACGGGGAGAGAAGAATTTTCCCGGGCAGTCAAGGGGAACTACTTCAACAAATGTGTGTGCGTCTCTGTTTCGCCGAGATATGTGAACTTGTGTACTCGCATCTGTACTGTGCTCTGAATTTCTTAAGCCGTTATAATGTACCCGGCAACTGTTACTTTTCCTTATTAAATTTGATTATTAATTGTAACATGTCTATCTTAACTAAGATTTCGGCTTTCCTAGTTAATGTTAGGGATATTTTCGTATGCACGTGTTACTCACACGTACATCATTGGTGACCCTGTCCCTCGCTCCTTCTGTTTCGATCCCTAATGACTATCTGTCTCAATCTTTGTTAAAAAACTAAAAATATGCCTTATTTTGATGCCAATGCTCTTCCTTATGACTGATAAAGGCTCCACCCTATTCATTTCCTCCTCATTTTATCGTACGGATTACACGTGGTTTATCACACTTAAGGAGGATTTACAGGTATGTGGTCAAATTTTTTTAATTATCTGTGATTGGTCTTAATTATGTTTTTGTGATATGTTTTGCTCTAAAATTATAGTTTTAATTTAATTATTGATTGTTTAAAATTGATCTTTGAGTAATATTTGTGCTCACACTTTTATTGAGATATTGAATGTCTTCGTTATTTTATTCTAAATTGATACTGTTTTGATAAGGTATAGTGCAAAACATTAAGTTTACGATTTACGATATATTTATAATTGGCAACCATGCCAGGATCGGAAGGCCAAACCAACGAGGAATCGAATATGGCGGTTCAGGAGCCACAAATCTCACACGTGGCAGTTAAAATTCCCCCTTTATGGAAAAAAAAAAAATGTTAAACTTTGGTTTATTCAAGTTGAAAGTAACTTTGCTTTAGCGAAGATTAGTAGCGATAGTACAAAATACAACCACGTGGTTTCTTCGATAGACCCTG